TAACTACAAAAAAAAAAGAACACCTCAATCTGGACTCAATATGTACACCTAAACTTGTACACCTGAATGTTACATTTATCACATATTATATATTTGAGTATACAAACGACATTATCTCTTTTGTGGGTATTTTCGGAGAATATGGATATACAAACGACATTATTTATTAAAAGTCTCACCTTACCTATTTCTGTACGCATATGTTTAAAAATATGCATGATTTCGTCTATGTGGACAATCTGTACTCTATATCTCGGTTTACGTGATGTTGAGAAAACGTCTGTAATGATGACAAGAAATTTAGTTTCCAACAAATAAATAAAGGGCTGGGTTGTCAATGAAATTTCGATATTATCATAAATACTAATAGTATTGTCTCAGATATCATAAATATATTGTGGTATATCCAAAATTAAATTAAATCATTTGTCAAAAAAGTTTAATGGTGAAATTTGCTGTTATTTGGTAATTCTGTATTTATTGTGGTAATTTAATTTTGCCGGTAAACGAAAAGACACATTTTCGTCTCTTTTCAACGTCTCTCTTCAAAGACATCTATTCGGCTCTATTAAAACCGCACTACTACCTCTTTAAATTCAATCCCTTCATCATAACTGCCTACTTAGCACCATCATAACTTCCTCTTTCAAAACATTTTCAATCCTTTCTCTTATTTCTCATTACATCTTCTTATTTTTTCTCTTTTCACCGAAATAAACAATGGTTCGAAGGAGAAACAGAGGTGGTGATGGTGATTTTTCCTTTCTTCTCTCACTCCCTGATGAATTGCTGGAACAAATTATGGCCGCTACAAACCCAACTGTAAGAGAAATAGCCCGCCTCCGTGCTGTTTGTTCTCGTTTCAACCGTATCGGCAGAAGCAGGGGTTTCTATCGAGCCATTGATCCCGCCGAAGTCGTGCATGAACCAGCGGCGGTTCCACATTACCCAGCGATGATGAGGAGATTCTATGACGCGGGTAATCCAGGGGTTATTTTCGAGAGGGGGATGCAAGCCTACTTTTTCTTCCAAGATGGTGAAGGCGTGGATTTGATGAGGGCTGCTGCGGAGGGAGGCTACGACCGAGCCCTTTTTGTGTACGAGATGTGGCTCAGAGCTGTGCCGGAAGACTTCGTCCGTGCAGAGGAGTATTTGGGCAGGCTGACGGTGCAAAACCGGAGGAGGATGAGCCGGTTGTTGCTGGCCGAAGTTCCACACGGATGGAATTTCGATTTGCCAGTGGATTTCGCTGAGAAAGCGGCTGCCTTTCATCCGAGATTCCTTGCGCTGTACACTTGTCAGTGCGGGGTTATAAATTACTGGCTGCAGTGGTTTAGAGAAGACTTTAAGCAGCCAAAGTGCACAACCTGTTTCTGGGCCCAAGAGACCCAAAGGCTCTTCCGCTTCATTAGGAACGTCGTTCCAAGCTGGCCGGTCATGCTCGATTGGTGAAAGCCGTAACCTTCGTCTGTCGTTAATTATTTATATTGTCTTAGTGTTCCGAACTACAGCTGATGTTTTTGAAATTGCTTGTCTGCTCTCGTTTTTTTAGTACTTATGTTGATTTATGATATTTATTGTACTTATGTTTATTTTATGATATTTATGGTACTTATGTTGATTTTATCATAGCTCTTACCATTTTTTTAAAAAAATGGGGGTTTTTTTCATTCGAAATATCAAAGTTAAATTAGGTGGATATCATTTCGTCTAGGGCAGTAATTAATTATGTACACCTATTCTCTGTAATTATTTATGTACACCTATTATAGTATACCTATTACAGTATACCTATTCACTGTAATTATTTATGTACACCTAATACAGTATACCTAAAGACGTACACTTACTTACGTAAATGGGATCAGATATAGATTGGAATCATAAAACAGGTTGAAAATAAAGTAACACTACACATTTTAGAAAATAAAGTAACATTACCATTGGTATACGGGTTCGTAAACGTACACCACCGTACACCAACATTGGTATACGAGTTCGTAAACGTACACCAGCATTGGTATACGGGAGTGTAAACAATTTTTGGACATAAGGCTGTTAGACATAAAGCATTTTTGCAAAGCGTTCTGCCGAACATCTAAGATAACAATTTTCACATCTATACGGAATCGTAAACGTACACTAACATTGGTATACGGGGTTTTAAACGTACACCAACATTGGTATATGGGATTGTAAACCCTTTTAGACATAAGCATTTTGGCGACTCGGACCATTTGTGCGCGCTGGAAAGCATTTTGGCGACTCGGACCATTTGTGCGCGCTGGAAAGCGCACCCTCCGGCTTGTTTTCACTGACGATGTCCTCAAAGCTTCCAACATTTATGCCCTTTGCTGTGTCCCCAGCGACATATGTCCTGGAAAGGAAAGACGCCAATTCTTTCTGAAATGTTTGGCGAGTGGAAACCCTGAGGCAAGATACTGGGAAGGCCTGAGACTTGCAACCAGAGGCGCAGATCTCATTGCAAGTAGGACCATGCTGGAACCAAATGTTCCCACCGACGCTCTCTCCACCCTGGCGTCGGCCATGTTCAGCGTTTGCTTGGGTGACCCTTCTTCCGCAAGCCAAACATTGCAACTGTTGGCAACGCATCACGGAAGTCTACAGTCAGAGCGCGTGCGACAATTAGGTGAGGAGTTAATTCTTGAGATTTCATATTACGAAACTGGATACATGGATACGTACTCTAACTCATTTTCATATCCAAACGACGAAATCATCAAGCTGCCTGATTTTGCATTTGATCATTTCGAACCTGAGATCCGAGTACTTTGCAATGGTTGCTTCATATATTGGTGTGCTAGGCGTATCTGCGAAATGCTTTAAAATTAAGTTTATGCTGTACACCTTTGAAAGTTTACACTAGTATGTGTACACTCTTTGAAGTGTACACCTATATTTCCTTTTAGTATGTAATGAACAATCTTTGAATTAATATTCCATGACTACATATACATGTAAACACAGTTAATCCCTTAGTTAAACGGAATTAATATTATATTCCATAAAACACAATAACGATTTATTTCTTTCATATGTAAAAATACATCATTGATGCTGTTGTTGGTCCTGAAGTGAGTTGGGTTCAACATCTTCAGAAAAATGTTCCCATAAGTTGTAACGTTTGGGTGATAGACTTTTGTTTTGAACATCACCTGAAAAAAATCGGTGTTATTAGTAATTGAAATCTTTATTGACTAAATCCTAAACCCTAAAAATACAGCAATTTGAGAAAGCAATGATATGCTTCAATCCTTACCCTAGGAGGCGCGAAAGGGTAGTCAAGCGGAAAGTGAATGTCTAGTTTGAAAACACCATTCTCATAGGGTGAACCTTTAGGCCCCGTTATGATAGCTTCCCAGTGATACAAGTCCTCACCCACAGGTCCTAATGAAATCGGCAAAACACTAATTAGGTAGACGATGTAAAAGACCGATCCTGAAAAACTAAAACTAAACTAATCCCCTATTTTCAAATGAACCATCAAATACCTGTACTGAAACATGGACTGTTTTTCCTCTCCACTTCCTTCAATTGCAATGATATCACTTTGGCTGAGTACATTTTTAGAAAGTAAATATTAAGTTTCTGTGTAATTAACTTCTGCTGTTATTACCTTTTTCTGTCTCCGGAAACTTGTTTCACTAAAGAAGAAGGCAGGGGACAGTTTTTATAGAGGACGACAGGAAAAACATTATAAACTAAAGAAGGGAAACGAGTCGGTCAAACGGTGCAACAGGTTTCAAAAAAGGTACTTAATTAGTTTTTGTCGTTTCCAATTTGATTTTTTTGGTTCGCGTTTATTCCTCATACACTGGTTTCATTAAATCAATTTTCAAAACCGTCATGACTTGTTTTTTGAAAAAAACGTTTATTCGAGCTGTCCTATCCTACAATTTCAATTCAAAGACACGATCATTGTCCGTTGTTTATTCGAACCATGTCTTTCATAATGTTTTCTTTCTCTGCTATAGAACCATGTCTTTGATAATTATTTTGATCCAGAACCATGTCTTTGATAATTATTTTGATACCAAAACCCTACATCGTAAACCCTAAGCCCTAAACCCTAAACCCTAAACATAACCCCTAACGTCCATACACATAAATTTATATGCGTCACCATACAAATGTAAACTTATAAATAAGCCATAATGCAAATACACTATATGATGTAAACTTGCCTATGTTGTCCACCATCATAGTGTACACAAACTGTGTCCACCGTCAAGGGTGTACACCCTTGACCAGTAAACATCATCATTTTTATACCAAATTTAACATAGTTCATGCCTTTCGGAGTTTAAATATAGGGAAACATAGTGTACGCTAGAAACAAACCCGAAAAACAAAGCGAGATCACAGTGTCCACAAACTGTGTCCACCGACAAGGGTGTACGCACTGTGTACACCCTGTCCAGTAAACATCATTAATTTCATAACAAATATAACATAGTTCATGTCTTTCCAAGTTTAAATAGAGGGAGGGAAACATAGTGTAAACCCGAAAAACAAAGCAACATCCCCACACAAAAAGCAACATGACACACACAAAAGCCACACCCGGTCAACCCAATGGTTCCTTGCATTTTGCCCGGTTATGGCCGGGATTTCCACATCTCGAGCATTTGTTTGGTTTCTTTTTTTTTCACAACCTGCAACAGCGTATATCAGTAATCATTAATCAGTAATCAATATCACTGGGAAAAAATATATGTTTAGTGTACACTAACCTGAGGATACTCTCCTGCTGAAAGTTTTCTCTTCGTCGTAGGCCTTCCTGATGGACGCTTTGCCTTAGGTGGCATAATAATAAGGTAACGCACTTCTGCTGGGATACGAATGTCGTCAGGGTCGGGCACTGGTAGGATTTTGCCAGAAACTGTTGCACTCCAAATTGATTTCTTAAGAATTGGATCAACCAAACTGCTGTATTCCACTTGGCGAAGCCTAGCCGCGGCCATTGCATGTCGGCAAGGTTATTTCAATGTCTGAAACTCTAGACATGAGCATGTTTTGTTTTCCAGATCAACAAGCCTCCGTACACCGAACTCAGAACTCACTTCAACCTCCCACAAAGAAATGCCTTGAACCGATAGTGCAGCAGATTTTTGCTGCTGCAGGTTCATTAACTTGTCAACCTCTTCTGTAATGTCACCATCCAGCTTTTGAATGGTCTCTCTTCTGCATTCAAGCCACCTACTTAACATTCGCCTGATAAATTCTAGCATTGCAACGATTGGACTGTCTCTTGGAGCTAATAGTGAATTGTTCAGAGACTCTGCAATGTTACTGGAGGTCATATTATACCTCTGACCAGAAAAGTGTGATCTAGTCCACAGCGCAAGAGGGATTTTTTCCATGTACTCCCAACAACCATAATCAACATCCTTCAGCCTTGCGTATAGTTTCTTGAAATTAGAAACTGTGAATGCTTCTCCAGCCTTTCCGACCAACCCTTTCTGACCGGAACCTTTGAATTTACCGTGAACATTTCTCTGGATATGGACAAGACATGCACCGTGGTGTGACTGTGGATACCATTTCTTTTTAGCTTTGGCAATTCCACCGTGCCTATCCGAGATAATAGTAAGATCAGAGGAATCTGGAATAATTTCTAACAACTTCTCAAAGAACCACCTCCACGTCTTGTCAGACTCTGCATCAACAACGGCGAACGCTATTGGAAATACTTGGTAATTAGCATCTTGTCCACTGGCCGTTAATAGACAACCCTTATACTTACCAGTGAGGTGAGTCCCATCAACAACAAGTACTTGTTTCAAATGTTTCCATCCAGATATACACGCAGCCAATGCCATAAATACGGACTTAAACCTGGTAATACATTTTCCTTCTTTTTCATCTCTCTCGCTCTCGATTATCAAATGCGTTATGGTGCCGGGGTTAGCATACTTGAGGACATGGAGGTAAATCGGTAATAATTTGAAAGAAGTCTCCTCTGTTCCGTGAGCAGAGTATATAGCCAGCTCCTTAGCTTTCCAACATTTCCAGTACGAGGCTGTAATATTATATTCGGAGAGAACAATCGCAGGTAGCTGACTCGCACGTGGCCCAACTATTGCATTCTCATACTTAGACTTCAGCAGAGCTGCCATGACTTTAGAAGTAGCATGTTTAGAAAATTTCTTTCTTGTATCCGGGTGGCATGTATGCTTCAAACATGCCTTCCTCACCTCATACAATGCCGACTCGCCAACTTGACCCCCCAACACTCTCCAATCACATATCTTTGATGGACATTGACTGTGTACTTCTTCGCATGCTTTTTGAATTCGAACGTCACTATATTCTTTAGCGCATTGATGGCCAACGTGATTTTAAAGTGTTCCTTGTTCCTGAACTTTTTTCCAACCCATATCTCTCCATCTTCATTTGACAAATCAAGTTCATCGAAATCCCCTGCCATTTCATCAGAGACTGGTGCCACATCCGGAAATCCATATAGTTCTGTACGTTTAATCACTTTCTTCAGCTCTGCACCGCCATTCTGACGCCCCCAACTGACATCACCTGTCGGACTCTGCACAAAATCATCATCATCTCCATGGGGAGCCAGAACATTCTCACATACAGTCCTCTTTCTTCCAGGAAAATGAATAGGACTCTCCGTTAAGGCAATGGAGTTGTCCATATGGTTTGAATCACTCGGCTCACTTCCGCGAGTACTTCCACAACCGCCTGAACTACCAGAGTCATCCTTATCCTCATCAAATCCAGGTTTAGAATGGAAACCCTTACCATCTGCTAGTACGTAATCATTCCACCAGTCAAAATCATAATCCGGATCATAATCATCATCAGATCGGTATTCTGCATCGTCAACATCATCAGCTTCCTTCTCTTCCGAATCTCTCGCCTCATCTGATTCCTGGGACATTTTTAATTCCAACTCAGGGTGGTGAATAGAGACAGCGTGACTTGGAACATCCGGTTTTACATTAACGGAGGTGTTAGTGCTGGCCTTAGCCGCTACTTTCTCTGATTCCTGGGACATTTTTAATCCCATTGGAGGATGGATTACAGAGACAGCTTCAGGTTGTACACCTTTGGAGGTGTTCATTGCGGCCTCTGCCTCTACTTTCTCGGCATGTGCTATCAGCAAACAATCATCGATATCTTCATCATCTGCTTCATCATCGGGTTGTCTAGACTCAGCCGAAGAAGAGGCAATGAAGTTTGTTGGCCCTAAGGACTTTCGCCGTTCCCTCGCAATTTGAACTTCAAGACTTTCCTTCCGTTTCAATCTCACCATTTCACCATTTACTGACTCCTTGAATGTGACAAATAAATTCACAGACTTGTCAGACTTATGCAGCGAAAGGAAGAATTTATACTCTCGAGGAGTAACTATTACACATGGACAACTCCCATCACCATTAAGCTCAGCTAGAACATCATCAAACCAGTAGGAAATCTCCACCGAAATAACTCTCGTGTCTAATCCGAACTCATGCGCAATCAGATTTCTCAAATCATCTGGTCCGGACACCTCTTTGCAATTTATGCACATTCCACGACGAGAAATGTCCATTTTGAAATCCCATTCTCCTGTATAGTACCTTATCCACGTTCCCGCCATAACAAGAATGAACGCATCCACTGCAATTCGCGAACACCATATCTATAAAAAACTACTGGCAAATAGCGAACACCAGACCGAAAAAAATCGAAAATAACAATGACAAATCTATGGGTGTACAATAATAGGATTAAGTTACTAACCATGGTTGTTGTCCTCTTGATCATCGCATAATTTCCCCTTCAATTTCAACATCTTCTGGAAAGGGAAACTAAGGTTTCTAATTTGGTTAGGGTACTTTGTTTCTTATTTTTACCAATTTATCTCCCTTATCTCTAATTAACAACAATTTTCCCGCCAAAATTAAAAAGAGAATGTGAAAGGTAGTTTTTCGTGTAATTAGTTGGGTAGTTTCCGGCCCATAACCGAGGCCCAGAAAGGTGGTTTTTGGGAATTTCATTCCCAAATTCGACATCGGGCCCAAAAAACGACCCAATCACGCGCGTGAGTACTCTCTTCCCGCCTGTTACGCGCCCGGACGTAGACTTCGCCTGGGACCCACGGTATTTTCTGAGTCTGTCTCTCTCTAAGGAACAGACTGCACTGTATCTCTCTCTCTCTCTCTCAGAAAGAAGGGTAAGTTTGCCATTACGAAAATATATCCCAACTCCGACCAATTAAAACTTAAAACTACCCTTTTCTCAAATTAAAACTTAAAAACGTCCTTATTTTCAAAACAACCCTTGATTTTAGGCAGGCATCGACATACACATCTAGGACGTCTTTTACCATCACTTTTACCACTCTTTGTCGTCCTAGATGACCAGTTTATCTTTATCTGGTACCTTACCCTAAACCCAAAACCTTTGTTTTCAATCCTCATGCATTCTCTCTTTAGTTTATATCAGCAGATATGTGCAAAAACGTCGGAGAGAAGAGGAGCGACGCAGTTTTCAGTCACTCGCAAAAGAGACTGAATGGAATTGGGAAGGAAGAGTATCAGAAACATAATAAAGCTTTACAAGACAGATATTAACTGGTAAATTCGTGCTCTCTAAGACTCTATATCTAAAGGTGTTCCCTTTTCTCTAAAAAAAAAAAAAAAAAAAAAAAACGTGAAAAGAGAAAGGGAAACAAAAAGCCTAATGAGTCTTAGATTGTCGACATTTATGGAGCAATGAGCAACCACTATTCGTTTAAGGAGCTATTGTTTTGAAAGATTTACAAAAATCTAAGTCTGGGGGAGTTTGGAGAGAACCTGAGGAAGAAGACCATGAATCTATGTCAAGAAAAAGTGACTGAAAACTGTGGATACCAACAGCTTCACTCTCTCTTGCGGTTTTGCATAATGTCCTGCACCCTCCAGGCTATTCCCGATTGATGCATACTGATTGATATTGGTCTAGAAGTTTGGTCTCTGAGATTTTGTTTAGTTCCTGCGTTTTCAAACCTCTCGCCGAGATTTAGCCTTTGTTTTGTTTGAGGACAAACAAAAGACTAAGTCTGGGGGAGTTGATAACACCGGATTTTGACCATTTTTATGGATCATTTTAATATCTTTTACAAGGTGTTTTACTCCATTTCAAAGGTTTTCAAAAGGATTCTATGTTTTCGGATTTTAAAAGACTTTCCAGGTAATTTGGGATAAAGAGGCATAAAATAGACAAAAAGACTCTTTGGATAAATGCAGACCGTCAGAACTCTCATGGAGAGACGAAGACCTTCTCACCGTCTGATCACCCTAAAAATTGGACAACTTATAGAAGAATCAACCAGCTTTCAAATGCACTTGGTTTGGAGACATTCCAACAGTTAGATCTCAAGATATTCCATTAGCCCCGAAGCCACGCGGAGTCGGCCAGCAGCTCACGCGACCGCGGCCAACAAGCTATTTGCCGCGGTCAGAAGCTTCCCGACCGCGGGAAACAAGTCAATTGCCGCGGTCACAGCACTCCCGACCGCGGCATTCAAGCTCCGACTTAAAGCCCACTTATCTGAAGCCCAAAGTCATTCCCAGCCTCAATTCCGGAACCCTAGAGACCATGGAGTATTGGAGACTATAAATACATGTCATTTAGGTCATTTTTAGGAGAGCTTTTTGATACTTTACAGAAACCCTTTTCCTTTAGCCGTTTTTATGAGATTTTTGTAGAAGATTGTTCAAGTCCGAGTTCTTCAATAGAGAAGCTTTCTTTATCTCTTTTCTTTACTGTTTTTCATTACCTTTATTAAAACCAATGATGATGTCGAACTCAGCCATGTCTGAGTAGATTCCGAGTTGGGCTTAGGGTTCCCGAAAGGGGCTCTCATAATCGATTAAGACATCTGGGTTTATAGATCTGGGATTTCGACATGTTCTCTGTTTATTCTTGTTCTTATTGCATGTATGCTTGATTGATCGCCTAGTATCTGATCTAGATAGTTAGTGTTGCGAAAGTTTTCATTAAATATCAGCCCTAGAATGAAACAGGCGATTTTTCCGTAGGAGTGGAAACCTACCTGCGGCGAGATCGTGAGTATTGACGAGTCTTATGCAGCTCTTGCGTTCTCTCCCTTCCAGGGCCAGAGTGGAAACCTACTGGTCAGGGTTGGGAGAAACAGTTGGTTATGATCACGAAAGTGACGTACTCATACCGCCGTACTCTAGCTCTAGAACCCATATATTGTTATCCGTCAATCCCAATCTATCTACCTTAATGTTAAAACCGATTATGATCCCTTAGAGTTCCAAAAAGCTCAGCGTTTTTAGCCATAGTTTACAATTTCCATCAATTTTTACTTGCTCTTTTAGACCTGCATTTTAATTTCCTTAGTTCGTTATTTACTTGCTTTATTTACCTTTCATGCGATATTTTACTTGCCTTATCTTTGTTTAGTTCGATATTTTACTTGTTCTACTGCCTTTCATTCGATTTCTTTACTTGCCTTTTAGGATAGATTTATTTGCTTTATTTTCCTTTAGTTTAATTCAAGAAAAACAACCAACCTTTAAAACCAATTTAGTCTAGACATAAAGTTAAAAACCGTAGAAGAATACCAGGCACACAAATCTCTGTGGATTCGATCCCTAAATACTACAACAGATTAGCTGTGCACTTGCGGCTTTCTTTTGTTTTGTTAAGGGTAAAACTTGTTCCCTCACGTAGTTGACCAACACACCACCCCATCATCTGCATTTATCCAAAAGAGTCTTTTTGTTCCATTTTGTGCCTCTTTATCCCAAATTACCTGAAAAGTCTTTTAAAATCCGGAAACATAGAAATCCTTTGAAAACCTTTGAAAATGGAGTAAAAACACCTGTAAAAGATATTAAAATGATCCATAAAAATGGTCAAAATCCTGTGTTATCAACTCCCCCAGACTTAGTCTTTTGTTTGTCCTCAAACAAAACAAAGGCTAAATCTCGGCGAGAGGTTTGAAAACGCAGGAACTAAACAAAATCTCAGAGACCAAACTTCTAGACCAATATCAATCAGTATGCATCAATCGGGAATAGCCTAGAAAATTCTCACTAGCAATATAGGCATAACTAGTCCGTTAATCCGTCATGCAGAAATCTATGCACTAAGATCTAAC